GGCCCGGCCCTCGTGGCCCTCCCTCCTCACAGCGCTGCCCAGAAACCTTCGGAGTATCCTCAACTTGCTGTTGGGTTATTAATTGCCTGTAATCACTAATAACTTGCCTTTTTTCCCTAATTCAGTGCGGCGGTGAGCTTCACAGCCAGCCCTCCTTAGTATGTAGGATCGGCCTGCTGTGGGTAACCCGGCGTGCTCGGTCGTGGATCTGACTGTCCGTAGTCAAGGCTTAACAGGTTTAAAATCAAAATGTGTCTTCATCTGGGTTTATGCCCTAAGAGGAGCACTGGCTTCTCAATTTCAGACTTCTCTTTGTAACATACCTGGGCCCTTACCTGAAAGTAGAAACTGGGAATCCTGTGTAGTCTTGTTTGTAAGCCTCGGAGTAAGAACCACTCCTGATAAAAGTAGTTTTGATGATGTTATGTCCTATCTATAAATCTACCATTTGCATTATTTGGGGAAGTCTTGGGCTCAGCTGTGGATAAACCTTACAATGCACAAAAAAATTAAGAAAGTGAGAATGGTTATTATATCTGGTAATCTGGGGAGGTTTCATCTGAGGAGAATTAATTAGCCTGAAGTTAATCAGGTTCGCCAGTTTGTGTCTGTTAGATTTACAAATGAAAGCTTGCATGAAACAGCAACTATGAAGATCTGGTCTGAGAATTAGATTTTTAAATGGGGATTTGATACAGTTCATTGTTTGTTTTAATAAAAAAAAAAAGAAAAACCACACATTCTGCAAGAAAAGGAACATAGGAAAACCCCTGCACTTGTGTGACAGGCGTATCTGCCATGCACGTGCTTCTAGGTTTGAAGGCTTAAATACAATCCCTGTCCTAAGAAAAAACTAGACTTTTTTCCCTAAAGAAAAACCGTGTGTAAGGTCACATCTAGGAGTTTGGAGGCGATGCATATTTCATCTTGCTGTGTAACGTACCAGTGGGCTGAGTACCCTCAGCGGTAAAATTCAGAAGTAACCTGAAGCGTGAAAGTTTAATTCACTTTACAGCTGTTTTCATTATTACTCTATTTTATTATTTGAGGATGGATGAAATGCTTGGTGGTGTACGCAACAAGGAGGAAGAAATACAGTTCTTCCAGAAAAGGCCAAAGTCCATGCTTTCTGTAAGGACTGTAATCCCTTTGGCTTCCCTGGCTGAACATAACTCGTAGCAGTTAATGAGGCAAGCGGTGTAGGGTTGAACTCTGAACTTCCCCTGTCTCCCAGTGACAGTTTTGATAGCAAACAACTTAAATGACATGCATTTAGTATCTTGTTTCGAACACCTGAGCCTGTGTACAAATGTTAACCAAACTGCTATTAAGTGAAAAACCAAACTGAGAGGCAATTCTCCTTTTTTCTACCGCAGCATCACATGGGAAGCCTGGCAGGGTTGAAGCACTCGCGGAGGTGGCCATGTTCCCTTCCACCAGGAAGTGAGTGACTGCTGCTCAAGCCCAGCAGCTATGGCAGCCGACGAGAGGGACTACAACCTGACGGAGGAGCAGAAGGCTATCAAAGCCAAATACCCACCGCTCAATAAGAAGTATGAATGTGAGTGTTCTTAACGCTATCCTGATGCGGCGTACGTGTGACTGTGCGGTCGTGAGGGGGAGGGAGGGGAAGGAAGATTGCAGGATATGCTTTTTAGTCACATGTGGGGTTTCTTAATATGCCGGTATCGTATGTGTTTAGACTGTGGGATGCATCTATAGTTGAATTAACATATATCTACAATTTCCTTTATCACAGATAAATGCCTTTGTTGTTATGGGTGCTAAAGGAATCATGATAGAAATAAATTAGTTAAGTCTCACCCTGAAAACTTTCCCCTTTCAACCTATTTCCTAGCAAGGCAATACATTTTTCTCTCTCTCTCATATTCAAGAGTGCGTTGGTCTTTTGTGCGGTGTTTTATTCTCCTTCATGCACTACTAAAAGATCGTTATCTCTCCCTTTCCCCACCCCTGGAATGTCTCCTAAGAACATGTCAAGCGAGTGGCTGGCAGCCCAAGGGCTAGCTTCAGGCACTTGCAGGAGACCATTCCGCATCTGCCTGTTCTATTTCAGCGGTATCTGTCTGGAGGGACAGTGACTATTACTCTGTTAGAATATATATTTTTAGGATGTGTTCAGATCTTTATTTGATAGCAGTGCAGAAATATGGTGACATATTACAATAGTCACGCTGTTTCCATGACTGGAAGAGGTTTTATTCTTCTTTTACATCCACTGGAATTTGTTTGCTTTAGAGACTGTTGTTGAGAATCCATTAATAGTGTGTGAACGTTCTAAACAGCATCAGAACAATCTTTCAGTTAGAGTGATCACGGTGTGGTATTTATTTTACATCCCAAGTTAGCTGTTTCTGCTAACCTGGTGTCATTTTGCGTTTCTCTCATTCCTCTAAGTGAATATAAATTATGTTTATGTAAAACTTGGTACATGCTTGGGATGTTAATCCTACCTTATTTGTGAAGATTGCCTTCTATTTTGTATTACATACTTTTTTAAAGTCCTCCTTTTTGCTTAATGGGTGTTTTTGGGTGTGGACAGGTATATTTGTTCACTGAGCTGGAAATATTTGCAAATCTCATCGTCTGTATGAATAATTTTTAGTCCTGCAGACTTCAGCAAAAACTCTTTACTCCTGGTTAAAGTTTCTTTTTATTGCAGTTAACTTGTAGAAGCCTGTTGTGTTACAACAGCCATACCTTGCACACAGTGCTGTGCACGTAGGGCACTGACATAATTATATTAAATGCTGTTTTTCTGCTTGGCAGAAATAATCCAAGATTCCACCTGTGCTAACTTTTTCTAATATACTGGGAAATAAATTATCGCTGTTTCACATCTGAAAATGAATGCAGAAAGTTCTTGTTACAACAACAATATCTGATTTCCTTTCTTTTAATCCTCATTTTTAAAATATGTTTGGTGATGTCATGCCTTTTCTTTTTCCTTCCCCCTTAGATTTGGATCACACAGCAGATGTGCAGTAAGTATGGGCAGCTGGGATTCCTCAATATGACAAATTAATTATTTCTTACACTGCTATAAATCAGGAATACCTGTCAAAGACTGGTTGCAGATGTACACCTTATGGAACTATACAATGTCACACACTGGGTTTTTTGATGGTCAGTTTTGTTTCTGCTCTTGGGAAAGCATAGAATCATGTTTGGTTTCTTTTCTAATGTAATATTCCTGTGGTGCTTCTGATTAAGCCTCTGTTATTTGGAAATGTCTTTTGAAATCTCCATTTAATCTCTTCCTTTTAAACCAAACTTCTTCCGAGTAGTTCACTTTTATAGACATCAGTTAGCCATAAGGAAAGAACTTTCTCATCGTCTGGTAAAAACATTTATTTTCCATATTCTCCTGAGAAACTCTTCTCACAAACTGCAAGAATGAAAATCTCTTGCAATCTGCCCAAATGCATAGGTATAGAAAAGCAAGTATTGTTCATTCACTTCCTCTGCATTAATTCTCATGTTCTGATTTCTCACCTGCATATTACTTTGGGAATTTTTTTTTTTTGTTACGGTCTGGTAAATTATTCCACGTCTTTTTAGGCTACATGCCTGGGGAGACACTTTGGAGGAAGCATTTGAGCAGTGCGTCATGGCCATGTTTGGCTACATGACTGATACAGAGACCGTGGAACCTGTGGATACCGTAGAGGTAGAGGCAGAAGGTAAGGCTGCGTTGACTTTATATTGGAACTGCATGAACCCTGAAGGAGAAGGGTACCAAATTTTGCATCTTTAGATGTCATTTTGTTGCAGTTAATTAAACTCTAATTAAGCATCACTAATCTAAATGTTCTAATAGTGCAGAAGCTGTACATCTGATGTACTCTTAAAAACGTTTGGGTGTTCTTGCTGAGGCAATCAACTGACTATCTTCTCTGCTTCAACCACGCAGGACATGACATGTTGTCTCTTCTCTTCCACTTCTTGGACGAGTGGCTGTATAAATTCAGTGCTAATGAGTTCTTTATACCCAGAGTAAGTGTTCTGTTTTGTTCTTTTTCCATTTGCAGGTCCAGGCTATTCTCTGATAATACCAGCTCTGAATGCAATGTTACTTGCAAAAGGAAAAAAAGGGACACAACAGATCACTTAAGTGCACATGGAGAACCGCAAATACCAGGGCAGAAAGACTTGAGAAACAAACTGTTAAGCTTTGCTATCACAAACACCAATCAATCATTAGCTGCCGTTACAGGGTTGGGGCAGCTCTGCTACCTGCATCTTCCAAGTAGCAGTGTGTCTCTTTGAGGCTGCTCAGATTCTCTGGTTTTAGATTCCATTTAAACAGTGGAATATAGCCCTTGTGACTGGGATTTACTGGGATTATCTGCCTGAAGATAGAAGATATTACTGACGTATTTCTCCTCTCACTTTCTCTGCAGGAGGTGAAAGTGCTTTACATTGACCGAATGCAATTCAAAATAAGATCAATTGGGTGAGCTTAAACGATCCGTTGAGTAATGAGTATCTTTACTGAAAATGCATGTGCTGCCTTCAGAGTCGCCACTCTGAAATACCGTGATGTGCTGGAGTTCATTGATGCTTTCTAAAAGTGGATTGTGGACTATTTTTTTTTTCTTCCTTTGAGGCTTTAAGTGAAAATCTGGCTGTCCTATGCTCATCAGTGAAACTAATTGTAATATTTGATAAATATTACCAAAATTCCAACCACCTCTCTTCTTTTTGCCTTTGAAGGTGGGGAGAAGAGTTCTCTTTACCCAAACACCCTCAGGTATGCAGTGGTTCATCTGTACATCTTTTACATTTTAGGGGTAGGATGGGGAGAGGTGGTGTCTTTTAAATCAGACCTCGAAGTTCTCAAGAGATCCAAGTATAAACACATCTGAATGGTATCACAGGCACTAAACTTAAGGTCTCATGTCCTGCTTGTTTTTTCTGAATGCGTTCCTGCAACTTTTGACCTGAGTGTCTGATGCTTCCTCAGCACTAGCAAAACTCAACAGTTGGCTTCCTTTTTGTGATGCTGATAACACAGTAAACCGATCTATATTCAGAATGTGTACGTGGGTTTGGTTTTCACACTATTACCGCAGTTTTTTGCTTAATCAGTTTTTGCTGCTTTGTGTTTTTTTTCCCCTAAAGAATTGCTAGAAGCAAATCATTCATCTCCCCACCAGCTCTTTAGCTGTGTCAGTATTAGCATAGGAAATGCTGATGTTCTGTCAGAGGCAAGAGGAGGGATTTGTAGTATTCAAGAGGCAATAAAATAAGGGAAGAGTTACTTATTCACTATTTGGCCTGGCCAAGTCCTTGCCAACTATGCTAACTTTCTTATTCATCAGAACAAATACAGTTATAGCTTTTTGGGGAGAAAAACTATTAAACTGGATAGCATTTGTAGAAGGTGATGAGTACTGTGTATTATCATGAACTGCTACAAGGGGTGTCATTTAGAAAATCGATGCTTTTGTGTCTTTTCTCTCTAGGGCACAGAGGTCAAAGCCATAACTTACTCAGCAATGCAGATCTGTGAAGATGAAAAGCCAGAAGTCTTTGTCATCATTGATATTTAAAGCAAGAAAAGTGTGGTCAAGTGGATTCTTGTCATTGGCTGGCAAAAGTCTCTTGAAAACTGTAATCCCCATGGAAGTAACTAAGGAATTGGCCAATTCAAGTCATAAATTGAAGGGAGGAATTGCGGGGAATGTCAGCCTCTGTTTTGACTTGAGGATGGTGAGACAGAGAAATACCCGCATGCCAGGAAAAAAAAGAAATAGTTGGGTTTTGGGGGGTGTTGAGAAGAAGAAAGAGTTGTAGGGGTTGAAAGTCTGAGGAATGCTGGTAGTCAGCTGTTAAGGCTGATACATGTGTTAGGTGCTATATGAACTAAACAGACAAATTAGTGGAGCTGCTAGCTAAAATACTATCTTTTTGCAGGGTGGCAGGAGATAATGTTAATCTACATGGTTTCATTTGCAGATTTAAATATTATAATTCTGAGGTGACATCTCTCCTCCATATTATCCGAAGGGTCCAAAATATCTGCAGTGGGTCAGATTTGATGTAGAAAAATTTCTGACTGTTTGAAGGACACCGAAGAAAATTTTTTTGTTTGAAAATTTTTTTGTTGGAAGGACGCCAGTTAAACAAACCACCACACCTTCTAGACTACTTTAAAAAAAAAAATTATACCAGCAGGTGGTGCTGAATTGCTGCAAATAAATTTCCACATGCAATTGTAAAGCATGTGACCATGTACATGGAATCCTAATAGCACCTATTATCACTCTAAAAAGTACATCTGCCGCTGTAGAAGGGGATGCATGAGATTCTCTGCGGGTTCACTCCCAACTATGTCTTGTGAAAGCTGATTCTCCTCTTTTGGAAAAAGCAGATGATTGGGATCAGCTTCCATTTCTTCCTTTAGAAAGGACCGTACAGACAGGTGTTTAATGTCAAAGGATTAGGGACTTCACTGAATCAAAATTAATAAAAAATAATCAAAAGTGTGTATTGTTTTAAATCACAGGACAGCAAATGTGCATTACAGGCTGTTGCTATTTAGATGCGAGAGGGGCGCAGCGAGTGAGGGACAGTCGGTGCTGGCCTGACCTGCTTTTTTTATTGTACATGCTACAAGTGCCTCACCTCTGGAGGTAGCGTCTCATCTTTATTTTGTTGTAAAGTCATCTCAAGTGGATCTGGTTTTATTTCCGCGTTGTGAAGACTGAGGGATAAAATCCCTTTTATTTTTTGAGAAAGCTTCAATGCCAAAATAAAACTTGGAATGAAAGAATGAATGGATTTGTGTGTGAGTAATTTTGGCTAGTGGGTTTTTAACACCAATGAATTATATTTGTGTTTTGTTCTCTGCTAAGGTGAGCGGACTTCTTTGTAAATAAGAACGACGATACGCCTATTTGACGGTACAGAAATCAGTATGATGTTTTTTGCCCGAGCCCGGTGCGGAGCTTGCGAACGTCTGGGGATTTCTCCCACGCCAAAGGTGCCAGCCCCCAAAGCTCCAAAGCTCTGTCCAGCCCTCTCCCTCCCTTGACGGTGCTTCCACACCTCCCCTCGTGCTGCATGAGGCAGTATTCCCTGCTTGCTTTCTTGGGGGAATACCGTTGCC